CATGTATCTCCAATTACACCAACAAGCTCACCATCCATGCTACTATACTTGACATCCTCCAGCACAGTTACTGAAGCATCTGCTTTTGAAAGAAGTCGACAATGGAGGGGGTGAGCAAGCATTAGCAACTTCCCCGCACCCTTCACATCCCACTTATACTTGAGAGCAAAAGACCCCAAAATGGCACTTCCAGACACGGGATAAGCCGAGCTATACGTATCAAGTATTTTCTCAAATTGGGAATCAGAATCAGCCAGTAGAGCAATACGAATAACACCTGAGAACCCACCAGACTTAATGGTGGATACATTATTAGTCAAATGAATCGGTGCAGACGCATATAGGATCCACGATTGACGATTCCGGAGTCTGATAGTGTACTTAGTAAAAGAACTATCACAGGAGAGCTTGCGAATTGGATCCACCGTTGAGATTGAAATTGAAGTGTTCCTCCCATTGACAGCAAAAGTCAAATAAGGACTACCTCTTACAAGAAAGAATCTAAGGTTACTCGATGGCAAGTCCAAAGTAACACTAAGATCACTGTATGATGAGATTACATGGCGATGATTTGGCTTAGGATTGTTGGAAGCAGATATAGTTAAATCGGGTCGAAAAATCTGTTCAATGAAATCAGAGGTAATGTTCTGAGATGGATAAGAAATAGAAATGGATGAGTTAGCAGAGCGAATAAGATAAGGTTGGATATACTCAGGCTGATCACCATTCTTGAGTACAAAATTTTGAAAAAATGAATTAGTGGGCAAAGGGGTAGATACAAGATGACTAGAAAAGTAATCTGATGGTTCAGGCAAGACTAAAGATTTTCCTTGAGGGAAGAGAAACTGAGTGCTTTGGTGCAAGGTTAATTCAGCATTATAACCCTGTACAAAAACAGAAAATGCATAAAACAGTAAAAGTGGCACCATTTTCATGCTGTTGAGGATTGAATACTCACTGTACAGAGGTTTTGGAGGACCAGCTCCCATTCAAGATGATTAAAGAAGAGATTTTTAGAAGACCCTTTTTAATATATTGGCTACTTGGTTTAATTTAAAGAGAAGGTGGATTAGGAATAGATAGAAAATCTGAATCTGGAGATTCTCTATTGTCTAGTTGACTTTGAATAAGTGAGAAATTCAGAACGTGACATCTTCGTGTCAATGAAGTCGTCAAGAATAGTTGCTGAAAAGTCCAAGATTTCTGCAAATTTAAGGGAACAAAAATGAGAAAAAAGAGGAGATGAAAGAGAGAAAAGGGGCTCTAATTGCTTAATTTCTTGTGCAATTAAAGTTAATACGTGAATATTAACGTTACAGAAGGACAAAACATATTGACCTACTTCTCTGGTTTTTGACATTAACTAATGAGAGGCAGATATAATAGAACAAATCATAGTGAACGTTACAAAGATTTGGTACACATTTTGTGCCGTTGGGTGCTGACTGCTGAGGTCAATGTATACTATTAGAGTGAAGATGGTGGTTGGTTATATTTTGATTAGCACATCATGATCAGAAAGTGCTTCAAGAAACGGTAAGTTCAAAGTTGCTAAGCTAAAAACAAAACAAAACATCACCCACCCACCCACTTTATTATTATTATATAATTGTTACTTCTTCCGTTTCTATTTATATGTTATCATTTATTTTTCACATGTATTAATAAATTAAGTTTATTATTTTTTTTTATTTTTTTATTTATTTTTAAACAATCTATGAACATGAATTAATTTATTTTAATTAATTAATTTATATATTTTTAAAAATTAATAATTCACAAAAAAAAAAAATAATATCATGTATATATTAATTTTACGAAGTAACCAATATTAAAAACTATCTATTTATTTATAGTACTTAGCATGGACGACATGAAAAATAAAAGGAGTATTATTTATTTATTTTTTGTGTGGGTTTATGGGAGCCAGCTAAAATAAGAAAAGTAAACATTTTTTTTTGGAGAATGATGAAGGGTTGGGGAACCAAGAAAAGTAACATTTATTTTTGGGAGAATGATGAAGGGTTGGGGAACCGAGAGATAAAGATTCGGTCAAATATAATTAGGTCAAGTAATGTTTAGTAACTTTATAGATTATGTCATGTGTATTATATAATAATTTATGATTGAAATTTATTTAAATTATATACTCATTTTAATAATAAAAACAACAAAGTCTTCCATTATTTTTATTTTCTAAAACTATCAAATAAAATAATTAAATATACCCTAGCTAATATTTTCAAAAAGAAAATAACACTGGCACCTGTCAAACCTCGTACTCTAATTTTAAAGAATTCGACACTTTGGAAGAATATGAATAAATATATTTTTATAATTATTTGAAAACCTCCAAATAAATTTTGGTTTAAATGTATCATCATGTTCTTTAATTGAATTACTATTTAGAGGTTGAATTTGGAGAAAGCATGAGTAAAATTATTTTCGAAGAAGTTTGGCGGCTAAAAAGTCAGGAAATTCGCATATTTAATTCCTGTAAATCTTAATATAAATTATTATATAGTACACATGACATCAACCTATAAGGTCATTAAACATTACTTGACCTAATTAAACTTGACCGGATCTTTATCCAACCAGAAGGAATATTTACAAGGGAAAAAAATTTATCCCCAATCGTCTCAGATGGAATATCTTACTAAAATTATCTATCCCAAATTACATGATTATTTATTAAATTAAGATAATATTAATTAAATTTTTTCATTTATCCTACAATTAATACGGCCTTCTAAAGATTTAAGAATTTTTTTCAAGAGGCTTGTTAATACGAACAAAGGGTGGAACAATAAAATTGATAATTAATAATTTTTTAATCACCTTTTAAATTGCACAAGCGTCATAGTGTAGAGATGCGATTCGCCAAGCTAAAGGAAAGAAAGTTGTTTGACTCTTAAATCTTCAAAATAAGGAAAGGAAATCAAAGACTCTTTTTCTTTTTTGGGTTTAAGGGTTGCTTGCCTTACCGAGGTATAAAGTTTTTTAAGATTTACTCCTCCTTATTAATATAGGACCTAATAAAGGCTTTCAGAAGCTTCCTTAGTATTTAAGCCTTTTTGAAGCGCCATAATTATAGCTGTGGTTAAAAAAAAATGCACATCTAATTTGGAACTAATTGAGTAACTTTTGCTGAATCAATAAAGATATAAAATGGGTGTCATGAAGAGCTGAGAACCAAAGAGATTTCACCGGAAAAATAACACTTCTTTTTATCCAGCGCTGGAAAAATAACTTACTGGTACGTAATGTTAGGGCTAAATCAAACAATATAAAATGGGCGTCTCAGTTTTAGTCTAGAGATGCATCATGCCTTTAATTTGTAATCTTTACGGTTATAAATCGTAAATACCGAAGGCGTGCTTTTATATTTTCCGAATTCTTGGGGTGTGATAGCATATAATATTTATTTATTTATCATAAAAGATCATTTATAATTAATACTCGAGTGTGTATATATATTAAGAGTGGAACAAAAATATGAGGCTTCATTGACTGTCAAATCTGTCACCATCATGCAGGGCTGCGGTCAATCTACATAAATCATTCACACTTGGGAAAATGATATCAATGATTGATTCAGAACGTACGTGTTGTTGTGATAACAAGTAAGAACTTGATATATATATATATATATATAATTTTATTTGTTATTTATTTATGAATCGTTATATATTTATACATAAATTAATATATGAATAATTAATTTCTCATGAGGTGAGTAAATAAAGAAAAATTAAAAACTATTTAGTGGGATACTTCTGTTGCTAATACTTCTATTTCCATTTCCAATCTCAAAATGTTAAACTTTTCGTAGAAAAAAAAGAAGAGAATTTTGACATTGGATTTAAGTTATGAGTATATGTTTTGGTGGAACAAGTTGCAGCAAATATTCACGAATGATCTTTATCTGCAAAACGGCTCTCTTTGAAGGGGTTCTAATTGATGCATTTTCTAAAATTTATCAAACTATCCTGCAACTTCAAAAAAAATTTGAACTACAAAATTGTAACCTTTCTGCCTGGTAAAAGCAGGCTAGCTTTAAATTATACATTCAACAGTTGACTTAGTTTTTCACTTGAGTTGTCAGATATCTGATGCATGAATATACTCACCTAGCTCCTTTACATCTTTATATCCCTCTTTGCCGATGACTCTTAACATTTCCATTTTATGGCATTTTCCCAGCTTACTATACTCTTATTGCACTTCCAAAAACAGATGAGATCAGTACTCCCTCAAACATCCACTTCAACGCAGCCTACTCATTTCCTTTCATGTTTATGCACACCATATTCACAACACCATTTTAAACGATGATGAATTTTCCTTTGCTTCTAACCTCTTACTTGCCTTATATGTATAAGAACATTGTATTGTAAAAGTTGCAATTGTTTCACTTTCAAAATTCCCACAAACAGAATATTTGAGTTAAAGGAACACAGGGAAGGAACAGACAAAACCCCAACTATTCCCAGATTTCAAGACAAATTTAGAGTAGCAGCTTCCTGCTAGTTGAAAATCTGAAAAGGGGTCAAAGAATATAGCAACATGGAGGCAGGCATATATGTCGAGATCCAAGAGCAAGGATTTTCAAGCAGCAGCTTTGGAATTTTCAGATAAACCAGAAGATCAATCAGTTTTCATTTGTCTTTAATTTTCCAGTGCTATAAGAGATTTGGTTGGTTAGATCACATCACCATTCATAACAAGCATATCTCTTCTTCCTATATAATGTGTATCCCAGCAGAAGTCAAAATTATGCATTCATGTCTACGAACATCAGAGTCCTTCACCTCACGTGATTTGATAATTCACATCTAATATTAGAAATGTCTGAAATCAACCTCAGATACCCAAAGATCAATACAGTAGCAATATTCACGGCTTCACCTACTCAATTTGGAAATTACAGGTACCAACCGCTGATCAACTTAGCAAATTATTATTACATTGCATTATTTTTGTTTTTCATTCTGAAGTAACCAAAATTTTGGCAAAGTTGGACTTTTATTCATAGCAATCTGGCGGAAAATTACAGCAATCATATCACAGAGCATTGTGCTGCAAAAAAGCGCTCCAAATTTATATACAGAAAGAGAAAAGACAAATACCAAATCACCAAACTAAGTATCCTTTTTTTTTAATGGTTCCCATCAGATCATATTGAGAATACTCAAAATGTAAGACACCGTAAAAGAATCAATGAGAGTAGTGTCGGAACCAGCAGAACTTGCTTCCTCTATCACCTTCTGCCACTTCATTATCTCTAGAATGAATCCACCATAGAAGATTTGAAAGAGAATTTCCATCATCAAACCCAGTTAAGCTCCTAGTTTTGTTCAAAGCACCCACTTTATCATATATTGCTTCCAAAGTATACACAAACCCTTTCCATCCTTCTCCAACCCCTTCCCTTGCCAGAGCTGGCAGTGTCCATTCGACCAACTGCTTCACAAACTGCACGTCTGAAAACAGAAGTTCAGTAATGGGCAATATTGGTAAGACCTGAATTCCAAGTCTACACTCTTTCCATTCAGGTGGAGCAAACCAAAGGCCGCTATCCCTTTTGTTAGACCATAAAACACCCACCACCCTGTTGTTTTTTGTGAATTCTTCCCCATATAAAGTGCTTCCCTCTTTCACATGCCACCAAGTCTGTGCAGAATGAATCTCTAAAGCTGAAAGGGTCGATCCAATGGCAACAAGATGGGTATCCCCATAGGCCAAACCCATCAAAGCTGCTGAATAGTATGCATTAACTGCTTCACTTGTGCTCTCTTGGTTTCGTCCATCTGCAAACTCTGTCAATCCCCCAGCCCAAGAATGCAACTTCCACAAGTCAAAACACCTCAGGCGGGCATACTTTGAATTTGATCGCCTGCTCAAATTCATAAAATCTGCCATAAGTGCATAAGCTTGTGGCTTATACTTCCTCCCCCAGATGGGCTCTATCTTGGCTAGCACTGCAATCGCATAAAGGAAATGACCAATATGAAAATGGTGATCATTATAGACCCCAAAACCAAAGTCAGCTCCCGAATCCAACGCCCCTTGCTTAGTCACAATTCCACCCCATTTTGATTCATAAAAGAAACCATTTGCTTGGAAAGTCCCCTCCAACCATGGTTCAACTGTATCCTTCAAGAATTTGCAGATTGCAGGGATAACATCAAGGTGACAAACCTCTTCAGCTATCAATGCCAGCCTTGCTGCTCTTGCAATCAATTTTCCATAAAAATAAGATGATGTTGTAGATATTCCCTTCGAATCCAAGGAAGCAACATCCTTATTCAATGCGTCAATTATCTCTAGAAATGCCTCCTCCTTAACACCTTTAGTGGAATGCCATGTTACAGAAACAGGGTCACTCTTCAATATCCATGAGTCTCCAACGACACCCACAAGCTCACCATCAATACTATTGTACTTAAATCCCTCCAAGACAGTTACAGAGCTATCTTCAGCAGAAAGGAGCTGAAGATGGAGGGGATGAGCCAGCATAAGCAAGTCACCCCATCCCTTCTTTTCCCACTTGTACTCCAAGCAAAATGGCTGCTTGAAAACAGCATTACCACTTGTAGGATAACAAGAACTGAAACGATCAAGAACTGCTTCACTAGTTTGATCAGAACTTGGCAAACAAGCAATCCTAATAATACCTGAAAACACACCAGACGTGATAGACGATACATCATTGCTCAAATCAATTGGGGATGAAGCATACAAAACCCAAGTTTGCCCATTATTTAGCTTGATGGTATATTTAGTACGATTACCATTGGGTGAACATTCAAGAATGGCGTGAATTGTCGAAATCGATATGGCTACATTTTCAATAACACTACACGTAATAAAGGGAGAACCTTTAACAAGAAAGAACCTAAGTTTGCTAGAGGGAAGGTCTAATGTGACACTAAGATCATCAAAGGATGAAATTACATGGGGTGCATTTGGATTGGGATTATTCAACGCGCTGATGGTCAGATCAGCAATAAAAATCTGGTAAATGAAAGCCGGATTGTGGAACTGAGATGGGTAACAAAGAGTAAGAGATGAAAGGGACGATTTAATGATATATGGGTGTATAAATTCAGGTTGATCACCGTTCTTGAGTAGGAAATTTTGAAAGAAAGAATTAGTGGGCAAAGGGTGTGTGAGGAGATGAGGAGCAAAAAAAGGAGACGGGTCAGGTAGAACAGTGGATTGGGTACCTGGGAAGATGAAAGGCTGTGAAGATGACGCCATGGCAAAGGATTGTGAGGAAGATGAAGTTGGCTGTGAATGGGTTATATAGGGTTTGGTAGGATTATTAAAAGGTTTTTCAATGATGGATTTAACTTGCCTTTTGATTTTCTTCATCGAAACTTAAGCGCGTTAATCTTATCTGAAAAATTATCAAAATACAAATTGAATCATTAATATTTCTGTATAAATAAATGTCAACTTTGGTACGTCAGAATGGAGTAGTAGTTGAGAAGCATTTACATACTTGTTCGAATAGCCGCCAGCAAAGAGGAAAGAATGGAAATTGTTTGATTGCTAGTAAAGATGAATAGAGTCATACATATCTGTAGGTGTAAGTTAAATCATTTGAGAAGGGAGGAAATAAAATTGGATGATTAAGGAAGCAAAGAAAGCAACAATCATTTGATTTGGATTGGAACAATTGTATCTCATAATTAATTATGTTGAAATGAGTTATCGAGAAATAAATTATTTTATATATATTTTTATGTCATAATTATTTATTTTTATTGTCGATCTATTATTATAGTGATAGCAAATCGATTTAACAGGCAATATGAACTGGTAAGAGAGTCAACACATTACGGAGGGGGAATTTCTAAAGGAATTGGAGCTCACCGATCAAGATACTCTTTGGCCCATGGATTTTTCAAATAATATTTAGGAAAAAAAATGATAAATAATTTTTATTCATATAATTTGTTATCATTTTGATAAATATTTTTAGCAAAATTCTAGATATTAAATTTTTCTAGTATGGAGTCAAATCTCATTATTTGGAATCTTTTGAAAATTGAAATTTTACATTAAATTTTTGTCTTTCACAAAAATACCCACTATAGTTTGCATTGTATTATATAATTTTTTTGTGAACACCAAAGTAGTGATGAAATATTCAGTGAATATGAAAGTGATGATATGATTTGTTGATGAAAATGATAACAATTGACTCGGAGTAGACAAAGTAAGTACTTATTGCGCTCACTCCAAACTACCACATTCTCTAGTGACATGAGCACTAGTTATTATTTTTTGCAACGAAGATCCAATTGACTTGTAATACAAACTTATGGTTAGTTTATAGTTTTTAAAACTTACGAGTATAAATTATATTTTTCTAAAAAAATAAATTATATTTTTTGAATATTATGACCAAATATATTGTCAAATTTCACTCAAAATTTGATCCAAATAATATTTGCCAAAAATACTTAAAAATTTATGACCAACGCTAACTTAATTTTCTCAATGAATCACCTGTCCCGCTTACTGCTTATTGGACTTTGAATAAGGACCAGCCTTGGGCTGGGTTGAAAATTTAGCCCATAACAAATGGACCAAGTTAGCCTTTTATCCACCCATTGGTTTGGCAAGTAAATAGTAAGCTTTTGCACGAATTGCCCCAAAAATTTTGTTTATATTTTTCTTTGATAAATTTTTTTGAGTCAGAGTATTTTGAGTAAATTTTTTGGAATAACAAACGTAAAAATTAGGTTAGCGTTTTATAGTTATAGTTTTGCTATTTTTGCTCCATAGCAAACCTAAATTATGTTTAGCGTTTTATAGTTATAGTTTTGCCATTTTTGCTCCATAGCAAACCTAAATTATGTTTGTTATGGAGCACATGATTTGTATAAATAGGGCTTCTATTTCGATGAAAATTGTGTTTGTATATGTTTATGTTCTTTGTATTAGGATAACGTGGCGAGTGAGATAAGGAGAGAGAAGAAAGATGTAAATAGTATATGTATACCGGTTGGATAATGATATATATGTAACTACTAACTACTATGTATATGTATCAATGATTGCGTTTATATACCTACATAAAATTTGAAATTATATACAACTGAATCAAGTTAATATACAATTGAATTGAGTTAAAAGATCTGTATTAATATATCAAATCTCTCTTGTACATTGTGTTTGCATAAAACGAGAGAAAGAGACAAAACATAAATGTTAAGAGAAAATTTTGTATTAGTATAACTTTAAGTGTATGGGACAGAGAGATATTTATTTGTATTTGTATATACACTATGTCTCGCTTTTTACAAACACAAAATATTTGTATTCTTTGTACAAGAGTGAGAGAGGCGATGGAGAGACTTGAGAGTGGTGAGTGAGCTTAGGGGAGAGGCAAAAATGACAATATGTTTGCTACGAATTAGAATTAAAAGAAACTATATCTATGATATTTATTTTAAATCAATACATAATTTTTCTCTATTTTTAATTATGATTTAATTACGCTAAGATAAATTTTTTTTTTGAGAACTTTTATTTCGTAGGACATTAGTTGCATACTTGTCTTATCAGGAAAAGGTTTAGAAAACTTAAACCTTTATGAACATGAGTTTATATGAATGAATTTATGCCTCGTAAGGCCATATCATTGATTGAATATTTGATTATTGACATTGCAAAGCATGGTTAAAACTTAAAACTGCATGGAGTACTAGAACTTGTGTAAGATTATTACACATACATCTAAAAAGTTTATTATTGTAGGGTTGGTACCAAGAATATTTCTGTTTCTATCTCTGAATGAATTCATCTCCTTCCATCTTAAGAGTTGCTAACAAAAGCTCATTCCAAGTATCAACAGGGCCTGGCATTCACCAATGCACACAATCAGGTATTTGCTTTTCATTTGGCCAATGTCCATAATGACTTGGATGTCCATCTGGTCTCATTACCATTGCTTCAGTTGTATCTAGCAATTTGAATTTGACACTACCCCTTTTTCTACCTTCTTTTTCTGCTGCCTTCAATTCTTCCAATTGCGTCAAATACATCTTCAATTCATATCCCTCCAATTTCATTTCTTCATTCTTGTAGGGACTTGTTCTATTGCAATTCCCTCCATTATTCCATTCCCCATTCTCAAAATGTGAAGGGGAGTATGGCCTTAGCATTACCAATCGACCCTTTGATTTATTCAGGTTTAAAAAGGTCTTGAAAGCTGTACGAAACGCCATTCTGTATCCATAAAAATGGCTCTGTTTTGTAACATTTTTATCATTGCATAGGTAACATCCAATGAGCTGATCATTTTTATAGTACAAAAATGGCCTAAAGAACCATTGCCCTCCAGAGATTATGACAATATCAGCTTTGTCAACCTGACTTGCCCAGGCATCATCGGCCTTGTCCAGATACAGATTCATGAGACTGTAACTAGGATCAGTTTCATGGGATTTGATCAACAGTGGAGACCATAGGGCCATGATTGTGAAGTTGTAATCTTTATACAACCATCGCCTGAATCTTGTGTCCGGAGTCTCTGATACGTCAACAGGAATGGCCGCCTGAGACGTAAACATGATATTTTGTTTAACAATAATGTAGGAAAATTAAACAAGTTCAATATATATATATATATATATATATATATTACAACTATGATTTTGCCAATTCTCTTATCTATAAGTCATTTGGTTTGGCCAATTCTGTTATCTATTACAACTATAAGTTATTGGTTCGAGCCGTGAATGATGAATCCTTTCATTTGTTTAGATTTTCTAGATTACACACTTCCTTAGAGTTTTGCCTTTCACCGGACCCTATGTTTATGTAAGATGTATATATTGTGGACTGATCAATAGAGATTTGCATTTGAGTAATGAAAGTTTTATGAATGCTTACGTACACTAGATAGAAGGCACACAAGTGACTGCATTTGGTTTCTTGCTACGGAGTCCCCAACAAAAGCCAAAGTCTTTCCACGAAAAATTTGCAGAAATTGAGTAGCATTAAAAAGTGGAAGCTCACAATCATTTGGCTTCCATCTCCAGTGTAAGAAATCACTATCCGGTCTTCCATATTTCATACAATTCTGTCGATCATCGATCACACAGTTTGTTTCATTTGTATAGTATGGTCCCTTTGGATTTGGCACCCATTTTCCCACAAAGATGTTACACACTTGCCCTGTTTTCTCTGAATTGTCTGGAGAGAGTAGTTGGGTAATGGCATTATCATTAATATTTTGAAGCAAAGAATAAGTGTTGGTATCAAATGAAGAGAAATTGATTTTGAGTAACAACAGTAACGTTAAGATTGGTAAAACAATTTTTCTAAAGCTCTTAAACAGCTCTGCTGGACCACTCTTCATCTGCAACTGATGTTTCAAAGATCAAAATTATATGACCAGCAAATTACTTATTAAGTTATATAAGGAAACATATTATATAAAACTTAGTACAATGTTTGGTTTTATAGACTTAGGGTCATCTTAACCACTAGGCTATTTAAACTCATCACTTGAGTCCATGGCTCATTTTTTCTTTTTTTAAATACTTACCTATATTATATTTTGAAAAGATTAAATGTATTTTAATTATTTTTAAAAATAAAAATAAAAATCATGCACAATGACAATTAAGTTTTCCAGAGCTTTTAAGGGAATGAAACATTTTTTGGGAATAATTTCATTAACTAGGAAATTGTATTTCCTTATTTATCTCCCAAAAATATGATCCTATCTTATACTCTTTTCTTTCTCTATTTTATTATTTTTATCCTCAATATTGGACTCTCTCCAACAATTTTTTTTTTTGATTTATTGTTGCTTACTTACAAAAGAACAAAAATTGTCTGTGGTTGTCTTCTTCACGATCTCAAGGAAGTGTAACAAGCAATCATTATATTGAAGGAACACAATGCTTTGAATATCCTTAGTTCATAAATATATATATTCTTGTTTCAACATAAATATGTTAACAAGAATTTATGATTTTGGATTTACAAAAAGAGAAAAAAAGAGAAAACTTCAAGAATTAAATAAATTTCAAAATGGAGCCCTGGATAGATTTTTAAAAAATAATTAAAATTCTGAATAAAAAAAATATTGCTTATAGAGCCCGTTTGGCCATAAATTTTTTCAAATAATATTTGGAAAAAATTTGGCAAATAATGTTTGTCCACACAATTTTTCATTATTTGGCAAATATTTTTGGCAAATATCACAAATTTCCAAATACTAGTTTTTTCTAGTGTTTGGGCCAAATATCAATATTTGGGATATTTTAAAAATTAAAACTTTACCCCAATCTTTTATCTTTTACAAAAACACACTTTCTAGTAGTTGCTTGCGTTGTATTACATCATTTTTTACGTGAACACCAAAATAGTGATGAAATATTTAGTGAATATTAAATAATGATATGATTGTTGATGAAAATTATTAAAAATTGGCTTTAGGTAACAAAGTCATGTACTTTATCTACTTCACGATGTATGGAATAATTCTTGTTGCACTCACTCCAAATTACCACATTGCTTCAGTGTCATGGACATTATTTGTTATTGTTGTAACTAACATTCAATTGACTTGTAATACAAACTTTTAGTTAGTTTTGATAGTTTTTAAAACTTGTGTGTA